AGTCTTTCTTTTGTTCATTTGAGGAAAAACCTGTCACTTAAATTGGCTTTGTTTTGCTAATGATGTATATAGTATCCTCTTTTCTTTAAATTACTTATTTATACTGTGCTTCCATTCATGTACTTATGCTGCTCTAATACTTTAATTTCCCTGCATGTGATCGATGTGCATCTTATTCTTAGTGTTAGCTGTCATAGATGGACTCGAATCATAATCCTAACTAACCACGCAACAATGTATTTACACTGGGCAGCTTTTCAATATTATACTATTTAAAAATATACTAAAAACATGATAATTTAGTCTCTTGTTGTATAATAAACACACCAGAATCTACAGTTCAGCATCCATCAGCCTACAATTCCCACCACAAACCAGCTCACTCTAAAGCTAACAACACTTCTTCTGTCTCTTCTCTCTCTGGATGCAGAACCTATTGAGTTTTAACTTGAACCTCTCTCCTTGGAAACTGGTGACTGAGTGGTGAATCATTCGTTATCTAAACACAGCATGTGCAAAAGCACACTAACCACATTAGTAGGCATTGTGTGTGTGTGTGTGTGTGTGTGTGTGTGTGTGTGTGCACGCACCCCCCCACCCACCCAACAGTGGTGCTGCTTAGCATTCCCTTGCTGTGCTCAAGCTATGTTCACATGTGGCTATTCGCTCCTTATCTCAGGATGCACACAATCAGACACAAACAGGCACACACCCAAGCACACGGATAAACACACAGGCACATATGCACTGACACACAAATTCAGAGAGCAGTCATTAGGCTGCGATTAGAACATACAGTCCACTGACTCCAAATCAGCTGAGAGAAGAGATAACAATCCCATGGAGGACTTATGCAACCACACCAGAGAAAACCAAAAGTCTCATGTGCCTCTTTTATGTGTCTAAAGTTGTGTGTGAATTTTCTCAGCCAGACACAGCAGCCTGGAAGCGCACTTTGCCTCTTCAGAAGCACTTTCTGTATGTCAGCAGTTAGGAGCGCTTTGCGTGATTGCATATGCATTTGAGGGATCATTGTGCAGATAATTGGAGGAGATGTGGCTGTGCGTTCACAGTTGGACTTAGTATGTTCGCACAATTTGTTCCAATTTTTGTGTTCTGCACTTAGTGGACATGCATGCCTACAGTTTACCTCCACAGATGTTAACACGTACAGTATTTTGGCTGATAGATCTCTCCTCAGGACTGTGTGGGCGTAGACAGACTGTCTAAACGATTATTCTCATATTCTCTTATACACTTGCTCATGTTAAGGTCCAGTCACAAACAACAGAGTGGCTTTTAGAAATATTTGGTCCTAGAGGCTTGGTGATGTGGTGACTACTTACAGTGCTAGTTGGCGAACTACTGTGGCTGGCAAGGTAACCACTGTCCTGCTAATTAGCCAGAAACATGTTAGTACTAGTCAGTGACAACTTACATCTTTATCATTCTTATTAGTACATGAAGTATAAATGATCCAGCATAGCCCAACTTTAATCTGAGCTGAGGTTCAACTAGCCAGAATAACTGAAAACACCTGTGTGGGTTTGTAGGACCTTTTAGTTAATATAAATAAATGAATAAAAATAACTACAACACATGTTTGGAGAGAAAAGGTGAGCACAATATCTGACTGTTTTATAAGACTAAAGAAAAAGGATCATTATAATTAAACATGAACATGACGTGTAATGCCAAATCACTGTTGGTTGACACATGCACTCTTTTGATGACATGTTCACAGTTTTCATTTGGCTGCATTCACTCAGTGTTCTAATGAGACATCAGCCATATCAACACCATCTCCTCCCTCCACCTGCAGAGTTTCTGCTGGCTTTCTTGCTCGGTCCTGCTCAGCTCTCTTCCACAACCATAACTCCAATAAAGGGCAACGTTCTGCAGCATATTATGTCTTTTTGAGCCATACCGATAAACAGCAATTAAGCTCTCCTACATTCGCAGACTGCACATGAAGGCAGTCACAGGTGCTGACTGAGCTGCTGCTTCAGTGTGTCAGTAAATAAATCACACACAGATTGCAAACATAAATAAAACTCACAGCACAAATTCACTCTGTTTTCATGTGGGTAAATTTGGCCCAGAGAGATACAAATACCTACAAATGGTGGACATTATGAGTCTTGCTAGACTTAAAACATGAACACACTGTTCAAGTCAGGCATTTAACTTTGCAATTGATGAAGAGGCAATGAAAAAAGGATCTCTCCCAATCCCCAGCCCTCCCACCTGCATTATTAATAATACATGCCTTTGTTGTGTGATATATTTCCTCCTCTCCAGATGTTTCTGTTGAATGCCAGCTCTAATTATCTAGTGTAGGTGTCCGGTTCCTTGGTTCATAACGAGGTTATCAGCAAAGGCTCAGCCCATTTCGTAAATTGATTTTTATTTGTATCTAATCTTTATCAAAACATCTTTGCATGGCAACCAGAGAATGGTTAAAGTTAGGGAAAGATTGTGGTCATGTCTGTCTAGCTGTCCCTCCTCTCCAGGTACATTCCCTTTACCCCAGGATCCCACATTGCCATTTTACACCCATGCACCAAATGCCCTCAGACTTTCCCTCTGTTCCCACACACCTGTTCCCACTTCCCTCATCTGCTCTGCAGTTGCACTGCCTTCCCCAACAACCTCCTCACCTGCATCTCATTCCCTCATCAGCCTTATACTCCCCCATTTTTATTCATTCACTGCCAGGCCATCAAAGTTGCCATGTGCTTGATATCTTTGATTTCGGGCCACTAAAACCTGAACCTTTTGCTGCTTTACCTGTCTGTCTGCTAACCTGCCTGTCAACCTGCCTGTCTACCTACCTGTATCTGAGCCTGCCTGTAATCATTTTTCTACAACTCCACATTTGAAATAAATCATTGAACTGTGCCTGCTTGGTCACCTTCATCTGCATTTCAATCCTATCCCTGTTCCCTGTATTCACAGCATGCCAGAATGCCAGCTTCCTGCATGGCATTTGCTACATGCTCATTAACCACCCTGACTGCCACACCCTGATGTGTTATATACAGCACAAAACTTACTGCATTGGATGTAATTTGAGAGGTGCCCATTTGTCCAATATCATAGTACATCCTAGAGTTACTGGGCTGAACATACCCAGATATAATTTACATATTCTCCAAAAATGATTGTTGCCAACCACCAATCAGCATGCGTGTAATTTTAACTTTGTGTAATTTGATGCAAATACATTGTGTTTGTGGTATAGTAGTGTTGTAGTAGTGCTCTCTAGTTGATGCTGTCATCCAGAACAACAACACATGAGTTAGTATTTTTTTTTCTTTTCCTTTCTTGAGGATCCTTGTGACAGACTTGTTGGCCATTAGAGGGCTCAAACCCGTCACAGAATGTTCTCTCTAGCTACTTTCCCAAATGTTTCCCGCAAATAAGTACACTGCTGCTACAGTCCTTAGCAGGGTCACTGTGACCGAATGCAGAAACACAAACATCTGCCCTCTTACGACAGTTTTACCTCCTTTATTCACTCTGACAAATAGCTTGAATCAGACCTTGCCTATGGCACTGGCTCAGCACTAACACAAAGTCAAATAAAAGTACAGAGAGGTCCGGGCATCAGAGATAATTAAGTGGATGATGTATCGTATGTTTGCTGTCTAAGAGGGCAAAAAAGGGTTTCAAGGATTATATATTGATTTGAGACAGACAGCTGCATTTTCTTTTCTTTTGGTTATGGTTTTTGATAGGTACTCCGAGTCTAAACCATTCCTTCAGAGCAAAGAAATCTCTTTATCTCATTTATTGTACCCTTTCAAAGCCCATAATGTCAGTGTGTCTCTCTCCAGTAGCTGTTGTCTGTCATGGGGAATATGAATTTGACGTGGTGATATCTACCATTTATCTGTCTGTCCCCACTCTGCCCACACTGAATCCTTCGTGGCATTTGATTTCCTCAAATGTTTAATAAATCGTATTTGCCCAAGCATGCTGACTCAGAATACATTTTAATACATCAGCATCATGATAGAAAAACATTTACCCTCTGACAGAGAGAACAGTATTGTCACTGGTGTACCAGCGTTTGGCACATGCAAACAGCTCTTAGACAAATTGATCCTTTTATTGACATTTTCATTAACATAGTGCAGGATCTAGGATGGAACATGAATTATGCTTTTGTGACTGAGGCTTTTTAAGGAAGTTTCTGATTAATTGCAGTTAGCCAATTAACTGGTAACACAGATTTTACAGATACAGCTTATATTCCATGCTGTGCCAAATCACCAATCGTAAAAAATGTATATGCAGAAAAAAATCAACACATGTGAAATCATTTCGCAAAAGAGAATTCAAGAAAAGAAAAATCAAGTTGACAGAGAAAAAGGTATTTTGGTATAAACTTTGCTTTTGACTGCAGTAAAGCAGAAACAGGTGAACAGTTTTTGTCCTCTCGCACGTCAATTTCTTCTATGAACAACACTGAATTCCTTTCGGTCACTAACATCAGCATCAAAGCTCTGAGAAGAAATATTTATGAATAGTTAAATTACATATAACCTTGTCTAATAAGAATGATGCCCTGTTCACATTCATACTTCAAAGTGCAACCCCAATCTCTGCATCCTGTTTAACTCCACTGGAGCTGGTGTGGCTCGGGTGCCTTGCTCAAGGGCAACTGTTTAATAGTAAGAGTGAGAGAAAAGTGTTTCTCATTGAATTTCCCCTCCTAGTTGCTTCCTTACATGACTCACACTGCCCCATTGAAGAGTGGTGCATGGAAATCTGTGCATAGAATGTAAAGAAATCAGTGAAAAGATATTGCTGTGCATGTTGGAAATCCCAAAATGCAGATACCTGTACGAGCTCAGTGACTCCTACACTTTTTCATGCTACAGAAGGCACTTTTACAAATGTTTCAGATTAATGTAAACTGATCAGCAATAGATCCACAACCTCACAGCTGATTACTACTAAGTCATCCACAATAAAAATGTCACTTTACTCACCTCCTCTTGTTGCTCCATACGAGCTGACAACTATCAGGGCAACCTGTGCAATAATTCCCAGGACTTTTTTACTCCAGGGATCCATGATGAAGAAGAAAGATGCTGCAGAAAAACCTGCCGGGTGAAGGAGAGAGACAGTCTGCCTCTCCTGTACTCTTTACTCCACTCCTCCACACTCTCACACTTTCCAGATCTGATGAATTTTGCACTTCTGTGTCTGCAACGGTCACCAACATCTGACTGCCTACACGGCGAAGACAGGAGAAGCAAGAGGCTACTTTCTGTTCGACTGCACTCTGCAGAGTGGAGAGAGGGAGAGAGAGGGGGAGGGAGAGAGAGGGAGAGAGAGAGCTTTCCCCACTGCCACAGCCCCAGTGAAAGGTACTTTAGTCATTAAAAGGAAGTGAAGACCCTATGGTCTGCCAAAATCCTTCAGCAGAAAACCCACTGCAGGCTGCACTATTATGCTCTGACAATGTTTGAGAAAGAGCCATCTCAGGTCCCATTAGGCTCCGGGCTACTGCTCACAGTCTGTTTGTCATCATGTAATGCAGCAGCTCAGGTCTAGTGGTCACTGAAGGGATTCCCAGCACATTGACTTAGTCACTGCAAATGAATAAAAAATATCCCTGAGAGATGGGAATTAATGTGACTATTCAAAATCTAATTATAGGTTTTATTCTCTGTACTGCTACCACATCTCATCTCATACACTCCTTTAAGTTAACCACGTGAAATAGAGGTCTTGATCTCTTTTTCGGCTGTGGCTCAGGAGGTAGAGTGGTTTGCCCACTAATCGAAAGATCAGCGGTTCAATCCCTAGCTCCTCCAAGCTGCATGTTGAAGTGTACTTGGGCAAAATACTGAACCTCAAATTGTCCCCGATGTTCCTTTGGTGTCTGTGAATGAATGTGATGTTGTGTAAAAAGCAACTGGAGTGGTCGGGAGACTTGAAAGGTGCTATACAAATACAACAAATACAGAGCATTTTCTACAACCTAGCCAAAAAGCAGAATAAACCATTGTTGCAATGAAAAAATTACAGAAAACAAACAGTCAAAGCACAAACAATATGCAGTTAAGATGGGTATACAAGTTCAAGAACCATCCAAATAAATTGGAAACAAAAACATTCACCAAGGGTGCTATTTTCCAAGTCCTTGAAAATTGGCTTTAGTGATAACCATTGACAGTTTTAGGTTCTCCAGCTCCTTGTTCCAAGTGTAAAGTGCAGGGTATCTAACTTCTCCCCTGTGATATCACTGTCAAGTGTTGTTTCAGGTACAGCTGAGCACACTCAAGTCAAACAGTACTTCCATAAGTCGTTGCAACCAGTACCCCAAAATGACATGTGTGTACATTCAAGTGACAAAATGGCCGCAGTCATTATGACAGAAGCAAAGGAGGAAGACAGGTGACGTGTAATAGTCCGCATAGTGGGGAGGTCCACAGTCATTCCTTAAACCCAGGCAATGCTTTGTTCTGGGTGTCATGGACAATTTACTTTTAAGATTGGAGAAACACTGGTATTAAGTAACTTCAGTCCATCATTACTCGGGGAACCAACATCTGAACATCATAAGTGCAGTGGTAGTGGTTTGTGCACAGCTGAGGAAGGACACAGCCCAAAGAATGAACCCTCAAGGAAATGTAAAACAAACTGTAAATGTGTGCTTTTTATTTATTTATTTATTTTTTATTTCTGAAGATGCACTTGGGCATGTATTTGTGCAGCAATAGACCTGTCCAACCAGCCGTTGCGTGGTGTGTTTTTTGTCCCAACCCCTCTTTCTATGATGTCCAGTATGGTCCAACCTCTGTCTGTGGCCAACAGGAATTTGCTAATGACAATATTGGAGGGAAATCTCGCTTTTCGCCAGAGAAAGATGGAACTCTTGTCTGTCTGTCTTTTGTCTAACCATCCATTAGGAAGAGACGTCTGAAATGGACACAGATATAGTGTTTTGGTTTAAATTACTTTTCATTGATCCCCCTTGTGATTCCTGTAGCCTCATTTTCCTTTTTAAGTCCATCTGCACACCTTTATCTCATCTGTGGCATGTTCTGTGGCATTTACAGTAAATGTCTGTATTTTACACCCTAATGAAGGCTTTCAACTGAAATGAGTAGGTGTCAGCCATGCCATGTGAAAGGCTTTTTATTATCCTCAGGACTCAGAGTGCTTAGGATTGTTCGTTCTTTGTTATTGTTGTGGCCCTTGAGTCTAACTGTTTAAGCATGCTTTTTTATCTTGTGTTTAGCAGCACACACCCAAGTGGCTTTCTTGGCATGACCATATTAAGATTGGGGTTTTTTTTGCCATATATGAATTCTATCATAAACTTCCTCTATATTCAGAACATTGATAAGAAAGGAAAAAAGAATACTACAAATATGCAAAATTCTTTGGTATCCATTATTTTGCTGACTTGTCACATTGTCTCACCAGTTACCAGATGATCTGTTTTACATGGCTTGAGTATTTGTGGACATTTACTTGTATTTTATTAACAATGCGGTATTAATATTTTTATAAATGTGTCTTATGTCTTTGTGCTGCATGGCTTATGTGTTTGATATTACAAATCTACCAACTTTTAAACTATTTCTAGTAACATCAAGATTAATACAATTGGTTATTAACTGTTTTCCTTATCTATGTCTTTTTGCTTTGCACAGTTGTTGCCTCAGTGTTTTCCTTTTCCTGTTGCTTTGCATGATTGATGTTATCGGCATGTTATTGTACCATGTTTGTATTTCTTTCTTACCACAAGACTGCACTTGCAAATTAGCTGGATCGGCACTGGCACTGGCACATTTACAAAAATGTTAATTGATGTATGTTGTCCTGATAAATAAAGCAATGAGATGAAATTCAACATGATGAATAGGCATTTAAGTCTAACTTTTTCAGTTATTTGTTATTCATATGGGTATAGGCGTGTGTTGGAGCATACATCTAAACACCATAGTTGAATATAAACAGATATTTAAACTTTTTTATAATGCATGAAATATGGTAAGAAACATGTTTTCAACACGTTCTTTCCACCACAGAGACATGGGAAAGAGGACTGATGTGTCTACTTTTGAAAGGATGGATGTTTTTTTGCACATTACACAATCACTCCATTTGAAAACCACCGCACAATGGTAAGCTGAGAGATTTAATTTATCTGCATAGATTGGGTTTTCACACAAAATACTCAGTGAAGCAACAGATTATGCTGCAGTCTTTATCAGTATTATCACAGTCAATATTACTATTCCTGGATCACTGTACTTGTTTTATCTGCTATGATGGCTAACCACACAGCCACATGGATGTTAGAGAAGCTTTTCAGGAGCGGTGAGGTGGGCGACATGTGAATGAGGCAGATTCGTGTGTGGAGAGGGAGCAGAGAGACCGACTAATGTGTCGTACTGGGACTGGTGTTTTTGTTTTAAACATATTAGATAGCAAGAAAGACAGAAGCAGACAAAATGTGTTTTGTGCATCTGTATGCCTGGAAGGTGGAGACAAAACTGAGAAAAACACACAGTCTAGTCTACTAATCGTGGCTTTCAGCTCTGGATTTTGTTACTACATTTGGATGGATTGTTAACATTTCAATAAGGTTTACTCCGTTATCCTTGTCTCAGTGAGAAGAAGATTGTCAATGCTACTGTAGATTAATTCCCAAGCTGACAGTGAAAACATTTACTGCAAATATCTCTGTGTGTCTTTCACTGATTCAGTGTCTAAATACTGATTTTAAAAAAACTCCACTGGACTCATTTCATTTCAATGTTTTGGTTTTGTTTGATTGTGGCATTATCTTTGTCCAAGAAGAAAACACAATCTTTCAATGATGATAAGCATGAGCTTATTTAGTTGGGCTAACATCCACTGCAAATTTAACCATTATTGGTCACAATCACAAATGTTTCTGTAAGATCCTGCAGGAACTGATGTAAATGATTTCTAATATATATCCTATCTAAAAGAGGTCTGAGATTCAGTCCTCAGGCAGTATGGATTTAAGGCCACAACATAATTCTGCTGGTGTTTGGATAGGTTATTAATAATTAATACTTTTATTGTTAATAAACAACTTGCTTTGGCTGTGTTGCGTTCATTTTGAATTGACTTAGACTGACAGCTGATGAACTCATTCAGCTTGTTTTGAGTGAAACAACTGACTTGGCTTTGACATTGTGTATTTATTTTTTGGGGGGGTAAATTGCTTGTTTTGCTTCCACTTTGTCACTTTGCTTTGCATCTGGATTTGAGCCACTCTGCAGCCTCCTGCCAGGCCTCGTTTTGTATAACTCATTTTTAGTTTGCATACCAAATAAAGCCGGCCAATGACTGATGCACTCCTACTCTACTTTATATTCACAACACCTGCTGCAGGCTGTGTACGGATTTTGGCTTTGGCCAGCAAACTGGTCGGCCAAAACAGAAAAGACTCTTTGAGTTTGTTTAAGAGGTGAGCAGTGATGTTTAAACTTGATGAAAGGGGGAAAAATAAATAGATACTTTTTTCCTTTATCCACCATTAATGTAGAAGAATTTAAGCAATGACGGCTTGAAATTATTGTTAGTCTATTTTTTATTGTGAGAGAAGATGATTTTGCTGATGTCTGTAAATTGGCTTGATTAGCTGACAAATGAAGATTAGATTGTTACATTATAATTAAACATTTACTTCCCTCAAGATCAAATGAGAGACAGGAGAGAGTGAATACAAATCTTCAAGAGAGAAACTGAATTTTTGGGTATTTCTTTCTAGTCATTTAAATTTCAAGTAATTCGGTGATTTAGCAGCAATGTATGTAGCTGGAACTGTTGTTTCTGAACAGTGACAGCAGCCTCATGTATTTACCTGTAATTGAGTAATAAAAGAGTAGGAATTGTTTAATAAGTTCAGCATTGACAATGTTAGGTGAATGACAGTTGAAGCACTTCCAAACAAACACGAACATCTCCTAATTTAGTCATCAACACAAAAGATGTACAATTACATTAGTAAATACCTGGTTATTTGATATAAAGTCAATGGTACAAGTACATGAAGACATAAGGAGAAAAATCCACTACAATATTCTCAGTCTTATGACCAGTGAATGCAGGAAACAGGGATAGGACCCACTGCAGACAAAAGCAATTCAATGATTTATTTAAAAAAGCGAGAGCTCACAGGCAGGACAGCGAGGGTCAGAACCAGAAATGGCAGTCAACAGGCAAACAATTCCAAGGGGGCAGGCAGAAAAGCTAAAGTAAAAAAACAAAAAACATCAGGCAAAAAAAAAAAAAAAAAAAAAAAAAAATATATATATATATATATATATATATATACACACACACACACACACACACACACACACACAGTGGGTACGGAAAGTATTCAGACCCCTTTAAATTTTTCACTCTTTGTTTCATTGCAGCCATTTTCCAAAAA